AATTGGCATTTCTCGGCTAGTGTCAGCACTCAACGTGCAGGCAAAGGTTGGACATGAGCTCTGTCGCGCCTCTTTTTTATAATGATACACCTATTGTATTTACATCTCATGTTGTGAATCTGTGACTAAACATTGATAGTTTTTAGGCTGGAAATCTCAGATTGACTGCATTAGTCAGAAGATCATTGGTACCTTAAGATCGTTCGACCAATTCAAACACTTTCTTCCCATCTTAACAAAAATCTTCTTAGTATAGGCCACTATTTTTCCTATCCTTGATTATGCTGATATCACCCAGGAACTTCTCAACAAATTGGATCGCTTGCTCAATAGTTGCATTCGCTTTATTTCTGGACTTCGAAAGTTTGATCACGTGGCCGCATGTCGCAATGAGCTGAAGTGGCTCACGATTCGCCAGTGTCGTGATTTAATAATACTTTCCACTCTTTTACTCTTATCATTAATGATAAATGTGCACCTGGATATTTGAAATGTAAATTTCAATATTTGGGTGCATCCCATAATTGCAATCTTCGCTCAGACAGCAAATTGACTCTTTTGTAGGAGGGCTGCTGGTGGAGTTATGTCCTGTTGGATGGAATGTAGTAGTAGCCTCCGCAACCTCCATACATCTTACTTAGTAAGTTTAGTAGTTCAAAAGTTGAAAGTCCAGTTTTATAGGTATTTTTCAGGTTTAACAACAATATTATGATCTTTAAAATGTAAACGGTGTAAATATAACTAGTAAAAGGTTAAAAAAGATAGGATGAGATGTTCGCTACCACGATCGGGCAGGGAGTGACGATGGAACGAAACAAAATCAGAATGTGAGGCAAAGAATGGAACTATTCAAAATTTGAATTTAAATACGAGTGCGAGAATAAAATAAGAAATTTAAATAAAAAGGTGGGATGACGATGCAAGGAGGTTACACCGCCACTTTTTTAATTCCTTCTCACCGTACTGGTTTTCTTTCTAATTCATTTACTCTTCAGGCAATACGACTCTGGAACGCTCTACCGCCCCATATTGAAAAAGCGCCGAATAAACTAGTTTTTAAGCAATTACTCCGCGAATTTATATTGGAGTCTCACTGACATGACATTGTTATATATAAATATGTATATTAAATACGAGCCCTGTACCCCACACACGGTGGGGTCGGGCTCGGCCTGCGGCGCGTGGTCGGTTTCAGTTTACGGGGTGTGCTCATGCTCATCGGTGGCACAGCAGTTAGTACTATGGGCGCTTGATGAGGTCGATTCCCGATTTATGCTAATTTAAGAAACGAACATTTCTAAGTTGGTTTTGGTCTGAGTATTCTGGGTTATCGTTGATTTGGTATTCATAGTACCTACATAGTACAGGATATTCGGCAGTAGTTTGGCATTTTTTCCTCCTAAATACTTCTCTTTGGCATAGCTTTCAAGAAATCTAACATTGAGACGGTTGAGATACAGCAACGCTATAATAAGTATCTCATTTCCACTACATCGGGAAGCATGCTTTACATTTTTACAATTGTGAGATCTTGTACTCGTAATCAGCAGAAACAAAATTTTTACCCCAAATTGTGATTGAAGCCATGCCATTTTCGGTCGAATTAGAAGACATTTTTATCTACTAGGCCTCCGCATGCCAATTTTCAGTCTAATCAGAGCAAGTCCGTTTCGGCAGCCACTTTTGACGAAAAAACGCTTATCTGACAGCCATATTCAAAAATGGCGAAAATAAACTTTTGACCCCAAATTATGGTTAAGGATTCCTAAAGACCTCCGCATACCAATTTTCAGCCGGATCGAAGCAAGTTTTTCTTCGGCCGCCATTTTGAATTCGCATCGCATCTTGTTTTTTTTTAACCCAGGCAGTTGACCACTATTAATCTCTATGACATTCCTTCGAGCACCTCCTACCTATCTCTAATAGTTTCCGTGATAGGAGACTTTGAAATTTGTTTGGCGGCCATCTTATTTATTTGAATTTCGAACATTTTTTACTTCCGGCGGAAATTGACCAGGGTGTACCTCATAAAAGTGTACAAATATTCCCTCGTATATGTTATAGTTTTTGCAGGCCGTTGATCACTCTTTCATATTTTCCACATTTAGGTCTTCTCATATTTGATTCTTTGCTTTGGAATCTATCCGCGTACAACGGTATAAATATCTTTTTCCACCATATCGGGAAGTATGCGTTCGGTTTCTATCAGTGAGTAAGAACTTGTAGCTTTATATATATAATATGTGTATGTATTATATATTGTTATATAGGTTACTTATACGTAGTCAGGTCATAAATTCTGTCACATGTTTAATATAAAATAATTGAAACAAGTTTATTCATTATGTAACCATTTATATACCAAAATGAACTTAACAAAACATAGATTCTTATGACACTAAAGTTTATTCAAAATGACCTACGTGATTTTGAATACAGGCTTTCAATCTGCGCGGCCAGTTGTCTATCGCAGCACGAACGAGGTCCATGTCAATATCGGCGGCTGCCTTAATCAAGGATGTCTTGAGTGACTCCAAATTGGGATGAGGCTTTGAGCACGCCTTTTCCTCCAAGTGTTGCCATATCTTGTAATCTAACGGATTCAAATCTGGACTGGAGGAGGGCCAGTCTTCGTGCCGGATGAAGTCGATTTCACGCGCCGCCAGCCAGTCTTGTGTGCTCTTCGCTCTATGAGCTGGCGCCGAATCTTGTTGGAATACCCAGTGCCTGTTATTGAACATGGTATGAGAAACAGGTTCCACAAGGTTCGTCAGGACTGTATTTTGATACACAACTGCATTCGTTTTTACAACTTTCTCACAAAAATGTACCTCTGTTAAGCCCCAATAAGAAACTCCCAACCATACCATGAGCGAGGATGGAAAATGACCTCGTTGGACACGCGGAATACGGTTGCTCGCTTCTTCACTACTGTGTGCGTACACCTTATCATTTTGTTTGTTGTAGCTCTCTTCTAAGGTAAAAATTTTTTCATCTGAAAAAAAGAATTTCCCGATATTTTTTTCCCGCGTACCGCTTCAACAAAGCGCGGCATCTCTTCAGTCTCAGGTCCATTAGACGAGCATTCAAACGATGTCCTGTTTTTCTTGTAAGTCTTCATTTAACACCCTTTTCACCGTGGTTCTGCTTAACCCCATCTGAAGGGCCAACAGTTTCTGCTTACGTTTGGGATTTCTTTGAATTCGCGCCTTCACAGCTTTTATCACTACTGGAGTCCTAACAGACCGAGGGCGACCACTTCTTGACCTGTCATCTACACTAGAGTCTTCATTGTATCGTTTGATGGTACGATAAACGAACACGGTCTTCTTTAAGCGTCCACTCCACATTTAAAAATGAGTAAACTTCTAAAAAGTATACATTTTTATTTTCATGAACAATTCGAAATTCGAATTCAATAAACTTTTTTGTGGCCAGCATTCTAAAAGAAAAGTTTTTACTGTGTGACAATACTTATGACCTGACTGTGTATAAGTACAGTTATGTTATATATATATATTATATTATATACTAAACTTTTAAATTACTTTTTAAATTACTGGTGCTTAAAGCGCAAGTTATCTTTTTTTAAGCACCAGCTGTCATATGTTTAGTTTTACGTTGCCCTATTTTATAAGCCCTATTTTTATACTATATACTGTAAGTTTTTGAAATAAATTTATTATTATTATTATATATCATAATTATTTATAAACTTCTTCCCATCTGTTTTAATTACCATGTTATGCACCCCTGTTAATTATTTTAAACCCAGCTCTCCGGTTGACTGGTAGAGAATGCCTAATGGCATTAAGTCAGCCATTTGTACTGTTTTGTATGCAATTAGGTTTAAATAAATAAACGTCGAGGAAATACTACAACATCAAGGCGCAGTCGCGAGAAAGCTCGAGCATTATATCGACGGCGCGCACCTTCTCGCGTAGCGAGGCGAAATTGTATGCTTTCGTTTCAATCCGTTCGCCGCAATATAAATTGAGCCTTAAGGCCTCTTTCCGGAACTCAATTTTTCAAAGTCCATTTTTCGTCTTAGCTTTACGGAGTCGTAGCGTCTGTGTCGGCTTGAGCAAGACTGTTTCATTAGATTTGGCACCAAATTTCTATTCTAGGAATTTCGTAAATAAAAAAGAACTGATGGAGACGATTTTTATTAAAACCGATCAAATGTAATGTATGTTAATATCTACAACATTTAAAGCTAAAATCTGCCCTTAATTAACATATTAGATTGGAAAATAAAGAATACAAACAAAATGTCACAGAATGTTTGAGAAAAACGTAGGTAGAGCAAGATTAATAATTATCACAATAAAAGGAAAATCGGAAAATTTTATTAGGAAAAAAATTTGAGATCCTCGTTATCTCTGGTTCAAATATTCAGCGTATACTACGCCAATGATGTTTTGAGTATATAGATGATGTAACTGATGGTAGATTGCAAGTTTAACTGAAGTCCCTGTCAGGTAGGAGAGCGGGAGCGACTAGAGTCCACACGTACAATCCGATACAGAGCCAAGATGATGTAATCTTAATCCACATCGAAGCCACGTTTTCTTTGGATAGTTGGGAACTTGGGCTACAGGACAAAAAAAAAAGTATACAAACAAACTATTAACAGAATGTGAACGGGGAAATAGTAGTTCGACGTTCTATACTTCAGTGTAAAGTTGTTGGCATTATTTTTGCAATAAACTATGGTTAATTTTTGGAACTACGGTTTATTACAAACTTCTACGAGTTTCGCAATAAACCACAGGTTTTTTGTAAAACTCGTAGAGGTTTGGTGCTCTACGAGTCCAATTTGTGATTAATACATAATTTCGACCCCTTCTATGTAAAGCATCGTATGTCGAAATTGAAAGGTTACAAGGGAGCGTTTTAAAGTTCTGAATCCATATAAGCATAGCAAGTCAATTTAGCATTTCTCAGTTTTATTCGAGAACGAGTTTTAAAGTCACGAGCTTTGCCGAATAAAACTGAGAAATGCTAAAGTCACGTGTTATGCTCATTTCAGTGAATTAAAAACTTTAAAACGTTCCCCTATACACTTGGCAATTTCGACATACGATACTTTACGCAGGAGGGGTCGATTTATATCGATATATTCGCCAGTATTATAATAATAAAGTATAAATACCCAACTGTTTGTATTTTACGTTATTACTGTTTAATACTTACTTGTACCAATTAGTAAGCGTCATCATGATGTACAACGTGGCAAGAGCAAACACGATGTGGAAGAAGGTCCAGGAATAGGCCACTCCGTCGCCCTCGTTGTCGTAGACTTTCTTCTCTTCCACCGAGTGGCCACCCTCACCGCCGTCAGCGCCCTCTATAGAATTATATCCTGTGCTCAGTGAGCGGAACACATAACCACTATTAGCGTTGTGATACTGCACAAGATTATAAGCGCATGAAAAAACTCGCCAATGGGGCTTTTTTCTATGATTTTTATAATTATGGGATGTTTTATTGGTATGAATTACTTTTAAATGAAATATAATAATTTAAAAATATGGGAGTTTTTTTGTCTGGCTCATGTCGAGATAAATAGAAAGTACAATGACAGTGTAAATGATGCAAAAAATAGGAAGTTAGTTGATATTGAGCGGTATGATACTTGTTAACACATGTGATAAATGAATGGAGATAATGAATTTAATTTACTACCACCACCACATACAAAATCATACAATAGCAAGAAGCACCAGATCCGGCCAGGCCAAAACGTTATTTAAAATTTTTGTATATTATATTAAAATATATCGAGTTCTTAGGTTTTCGTGGTTGTTACACATAGGAAATGAAACTATTTTTACGGATTCAAATCGCGTATATTTATTTTTTCAAACAAAGCAACGTTTCGGGCCCTTTACAGGTCTCATGCTCACGATTGACTGTCAACCGTCAACCGTGACCCCATGATCACGGTAAAGGGCCCGAAACGTTAGTTTGTTTGAAAAAAGAAACAAATATACGCGATTTAAATCCGGAAAAATAGTTTCATTTTCTATATATTTAAATATTTTTGTATATTGTGAAATTGCACTGGGAAGCAACGACATCGAGGTGACTGTAGGGGTTACCTTCGGTAGCAATCAGACCTCCTTGAGCTTGTGTCACGGCACCGTGTCGCCAGATTCCGCAAGGGATACACAAAGTTAGTTAGTGGGGAACATTGTAAAAAGAATTCATGAAAGATAAACAAATATGTTAGTGGGATAGACAAACATTATATATCAATTATCTTGTGCAGCACACATGGAAAAAACAATACGAGGCCGAAAGAGAAGCACCAGTGTCGGCTATGTGTCGTCAAACATTATAAAGACGAAGCTGTTTTAGGAAACCGGTTAAAGTAAATCGATGAATAATGATAAAGTTTATAAAAAGGAATCATCATATCACTTACAATTAAGGAAGTATTATGTAATATTAAATTAAATAACGCATACACTCTAGCCCCGCAATAGGGCAACCCTATGTCGCGGGAGCCATGGAGACACATATAGACAACCATAAATTAGACCCAAACGCACGAGAGAAATAAACGTAGACCTTACAATTATTTCTCCCGACCTGGGAATCAAACCCGGGACCTTTGCGTCGCAGACCAGCATGGTAACTGTTCGGCCATGGAGGCAGTCAATAGATAGAGTATAATGGCACTTTTTAGAAATTTCATTCCTTTGTACTACTCTAAAATAGATTAGGACTACATTGCGCTGAAACCTGCAATATCGAAAAAAGTTGCCTTAACTCTTATAAAGATACGAGTACCAATCCTCATTGGGCCAGAGTCGTGTATGATAGTGTTAAAACTCCATTAACGTGTTAAAGGAACGTATACAGATTGATGATAAAAATGGTTATTGGTCTTTCATAAACTTAATTTCTATGAATATTATATAATATACATACATACATACTCTAGTTTAATAATAAGTAGGTAATTCCAAACATATAAGACATTTTATTTTTGGCGGACTATACATATGAAAACATTCATAAAACTCGTCCTATACGTAGTGGTCGGATATTAGGATGCCTTTATATCTAAAGTTCACTTTTCTCATGAATTGTTGTCGAAATATGGAAGTGGCTTCTTAAAATATATTTTTATTCTTTTAATAGCCAGGGTTCTCGAATGGCGGTTACCGCTTTCATTTTTAAATATATAAGTTTTAGGTTCACTATTTGATGACTAGAAATATGACTATACGATCTCAGTGCTGTGGACAGCTTGAAGTATCAAATTTAAACTCAAACGATGACAGTGGTGGAACAAACGGCGATGAAAAATGTTAAAATTAAAATTTTTTTTTGCATGTCCTGAAGTTTTTATAAGTTTGTTTCACTTAAGTTAATTGAAATGTTTCATAGCATTACAAATAACGTTTCAAACGTTTACATTTCTTCAACTTTATACTTAATAATTTCGGTCTGAGTCGCGAGATTTTTTTAAGTTACCGAATTATAGGTAAATATAAGCATCTTGTTTATCCGACCACTAGTAATTATGAGGGCGTAAAGCCTGATGAATTAGAATTGGACCTTCGTCATGTTGCAAAATATTAAATTTTACTGTAGGTATTAAATTAGCGTCACAATTTTAGGGTCCAATAGTAACTTTTCAGCCCATACATAATTTATGCAGATTTGTTTAGTCTATAAGAAACATAAAAATATTGCACCTGCATTGCCTTCTTTTGCGAGTATGTGTTCAGACATGGTGATCTTGGAAGACGAGGAGGCCGTGCGGATCGAGGAGTAGAGGACGCTGCATACCCACACGACCAAGCCGATGATCGATTGTTTGTCGAAGGATGACTGAAAAGCAAGCTTTATCGTTAGTTTGTTTTAGTTTTTTATTATTTGTAAGTAATTAGATTTATTCAATTCTGACAGTAGAGGGTGTTGCATTAACACATCATCTAAATAATGTTTTGTACAGAGGGCAGCACATCAAGCTACACATTGATGGATCCATTGCACCGAAGGCCGTGTTCGAAAAAAAAATGTACAGCTTGATTTGAAAATAATACCGAAGTGTTTTTTTAAATCTCACTATAAAGTTGCTTTACTATCAGATGTAGTAGAGAAATGTTTTGGATTCGTGCACTACAGTGAAAATGCTGGCTCAGACTGACGGTGATATTGCGCTACCACGTTACACTGACCAATCAGAGGTCACTTTGTTAGCAGGTATTAATTATATATATATAATATATATTCTTACTCACTGATAAAAATAGAACGCATACTTCCCGATATGGTGGAAAAAAAATATTTATACCGTAGTACGCCGATAGGCTCCAAAGCAAAGAATCAAATATGAGAGGACCTGAATATGGGAAATATGAAAGAGTGATCAACGGCCTGCAAAAACCATATTATACGGAGGGAGTATTTGTGCATTTTTATGAGGTACACCCTGGTCATTTCCGCGGGAAGTAAAAAATGTTCGAAATTTAAATAAATAAGATGGCCGCCATACAAATTTCAAAGCCCCCTATCACGGAAACTTAGAGATAGGTAGGAGGTGCTCGAAGGAATATCATAGACGGTAACACTGGTCAACTGCCTGGGTTAAAAAATTCAAGATGGCGATTTAAAAATGGCGGCCGAAGAAAAACGCTACGATCCGGCTGAAAATTGTCATGCAACGGTCTTTAGGCGCCTTAATCATAATTTGGGGTCAAAAGTTTATTTTCGTTATATTTTAATATGGCTGCCATATAAAATTAAAAAAATTAAAAATTGCTGCCGAAAGAGACTTGCTCTGAATCGGCTGAAAATTGGCATAAGGGTCTCTAGGAGTACTTGATAATAATTTGTGATCAAAATTGGTTTTTCGCCATTTTTTAATATGACCGCCAAACAAGCGTTTATAAAAATTAGCTCTAATTCAACTGAAAATCGATATGTGGGGGTTCTATAAGTTTTTGATTATAATTTGCGCTCAAAATTTATAAAAAATTTTTTCCAATATGGCTGCCATACAAACTTTTTTAGCGGCAGATAAAAATTTGCTCTAATTCGAGTGATAATGGACATGTCGAGGTCTCTAGGAGTGTTTAATAATAATTAGCGGTCAAAATATATTTTTCGCCATTTTTCAATTTATGGCTGCCATACAAACTTTTTTGGTAGTAGATAATTTTTTTTTCTAATTCAACTGAAAATGGCATGCCTTCAATCATAATTTCGGGTAAAAATTTTGTTTCCGTCGTTTTTCGATATAACCGTAATTTTTTATGTAAATGGCCGTTGAAAAAACTTGCTTTGCTTGGACTGAAAATTGACACGAAAAGATTTCTAAGATTGTTTGATAAAAATTAGTGGTCAAAAACATATTTTTGCAGTTTTTAAACATGGCCGCCTTTAAAGAGTTATTTCAATTTTTTAAAACAAAGTGATAAGTGCCGAGGTCGTAGGCCGAGGTCCGCCGAGGGCGAAACTCGACTCGTATGCACGCTATCGCGATGGAGATAAAATACGGTGGCGTAATTGATTACGAGTATAAGATCTCACAATTGTAAAAATGTAAGGAATACCTCCCGATGTAGTGGAAATGAGATACTTATTATAGCGTTGTTGTATCTCGATCGTCTCTCTGTTAGATTCCATTTTCTTGAAAGCTATGCCAAAGAGAAGTATATAGCGGGAAAAAATGCCAAACTGCTGCCAAATTTCCTGTACTATGAATATCGAAACAACGATAACCCAGAATACTCAGATCAAAACCAACTTAGAAATTTAATGTTCGTTTCTTAAATTGGCCCAAATCGGGAATCGAACTCCTCATCAAGCGCCCGTAGTACTAACTGCTGTGCATCGAGGAGCTTGAGCACACCCCGTAAACTGAACCCTACCTCGCGCCGCAGGCCGAGCCCGACCCCATCGTGTGTGTATATACATATATACACACACGATATCAATTTCTGCCGCCAAGCAGTAATGCGAGCATTACTGCGTTTCGGTTTTGAAAGTTTAGGGGTGATGGTGAAATTACAGGCACATGGGATTTCTCAATTTATGTTGTAGTAGTAGTGTCTCTCGGCTCTTTGCGATTTAAAACTCTGAGTGGCTCTACAACTGTTATGAATAAGCGTGTCGCTTACCACCAGGCCCAGGATTTATTCGTCTCGCCCAAAAATGATAAAAAGGATACCGAGATATTCAAGAGTCGTGGTAGCGCGCACACGCGCGATGTCGCCCGCAGGCTTCATAATGGGTAAACAAATAATAAATACAGAGCTATTAACAAAAACACTGTACTGGCAATGAAAAAAAAAACCTTATTCATTTGCTACATACCCAATAGGTCTCCTCTTGCATTCCCTGGCGAAGCATTTTTAATATAGATATTTATTATTATATTATACATAAGAGTACAAAATATATAAATTCTAAATACGTAGCACTGTTAATTCTGTTTTGCTTCTTTATATGGATATAATAAAGCATTATTATTATTATTTCATAATTCATTTGTAGAACTTATTTCAGTCTGCGCCTTTCTCTGACTCTTAATAAAATATACCAGTTGCCCACAAACATCGATTATACAGTGTGTTAGGGCACGCACTGTACAAACTTTAAGGGGGTGTTTAGTATTCAATATTACGTGAAAAACACTAATACATGTGGGGTCAAAACTCAATTCCCTAGGAATGGCAGCAATTTTGATTTTTTATACTTAGTTTGCTAAACGTTTGTTCTAAAATTATCATATTATGAGAAGTAAAAGCAGTACGAACATAAAAAATATTTTTTCGGAAAGCTAAGATTAGCGGTAATTGAATAAAATATCTGTCATGTACATAAAAAAAGTGAGGGATTGCCTAATCAAAATAATGAATGTAAATTTTTACCAAAAAAACTGCCAAAAAAACTAAGTTTTTGTAATTTAATCCTAAAATAACCAAATTAAGGTACTGTTTTTATGTATGAATTTTAAAGTATTTCAGCTGTTCTTAAAAACACGACAAAAATCATAATCCTATGTCCACAATTCTAAAAGTTACAGCTTCTGCAACATAACGTCTCCGAGAGCGAAATAAGTAAATTTTACAGTCTTTCTAGTAAATTGTTTTGTGTTGAGATGTAGTAAGTTAATTTGAAATAAAAAACAGTAAAAAATATTAGATTATTTATTTTACAAAAAAAAGAAACACTTAAATTATAAAAGGTGTTCAAAATGTCCCCCCCTATTTAGAAGGCAAGCTGTTGTCCGAATTCCCACCTGCTGCGTGGCCCGATATATAATTTCGGGATTTGCACGAATTTCTTCAGCAGCTTCACGAATGCGCGCCGATAGCTCCTCTCTCGTATTCACTGGGTTAAAATAAACTTTTTGTTTTCATCCAACCCCAAAAAAAAAAAAATCTAATGGAGTTAAATCCGGACTACGCGGAGGCCACGCAACAGTGCCGCCTCTTCCAATCCACTGTGGATAATTTTCATTCAAGTGCTGTCTCACAGCTGTGGCGAAATGAGCCGGGGCTCCATCCAGCTGCAACCATATTCCTCGGATACGTGCGATTGGCAATTCTGAGAGTAATTCCACAAACTCGGTCCTTAAAAATTCCAAAAATCTTGGGCCATTTAATCTTTCCGGCAACTCCACCGGTCCAACTAATTGGTTATTAATAATACCAGCCCAAACGTTGACAGAAAACTCATGCTGGAATGAGGATGGTCTCACTGCATGAGGATTTTCGGTAATCCACATATGTAAATTACGATAATTGGTTATCCCCGCTCTTCTAAACGAAGCTTCGTCGCTCCATAAAATCTTCTTTAAAAAGTTTGGCTGTTGCCGCACCTTTTGATTAATCCACGCACTAAAAACTGAACGTGCACATAGTCCGGATCACTAATATTCTGCACGCGTCGAAAATGGTAAGGATATAACCTTCACTTTTCAAAATACGCCACACTGTCCAATGCGACATACCAAGTCGGAGAGCAATTCGCCTCGTGCTTAATCTTGGATCTCTGTAGATCATATTAAGAACGGTTTCTTCATCATAAACTGGTATTTCACGTGCATGTTCACCTACTGGTTGACGAATACCATTTTCTGCCAATCGCCTATGAATATCACGAAATGTCTGGTGATTAGGTGTAGGCCGATTTGGGAATCTCCTTCGGTATTCACGAACTACTGCCCGTGCATTACCATTGCAAAATCCATAGATGAAATGAATATCTGCAATATGCGCACTTGAATAATGCTGATTATTCATGACGAATCAACAATAAATTTCACTCCGAAAGCACTTTTGGTCAAGATGTGTTGTCTGAGTAGAGAGTAACAACTGACTGTTAATTGTTGAACAAAAAGAACCGTTAAGTACCCTTAGAACTTTTTTTCAATCAGGATTGTGCTTAGGGGCTTATCTTTTGTCCCTTTTACACTTGCAAGCAGGGCAGAGTGAGCCAGGTAATAAATGGTTGAACTCATCGCCATTGTTGTAACCGAGAGCGATCTTTTGTGTTGTTAAGATACTAAGTTCGAATAGTAAAAACTTTTAGAATTGTAGACACACGATTATGATTTTGGTCTTGTTTTTAAGAACATCTGAAATACTTTAAAATTCACACACAACAACAGTACCTTAATTTGGTTATTTTAGGATTAAATTACAAAAACTTAGTTTTTTTGGCAGTTTTTTTGGTAAAAATTTACATTCATTATTTTTTTTAGGCAATCCCCCACTTTTTTATGTACATGACAGATATTTTATTCAATTGCCGCTAATCATAGCTTTCCGAAAAAATATTTTTTATGTTCGTACTGATTTTACTTCTCATAATATGATAATTTTAGAACAAACGTCTAGTAAACTAAGTATAACAAATCAAAATGGCTGCCATTCCTAGGGAGTCGAGTTTTGACCCCACATGTATTAGTGTTTTTCACATAATATTGAATACTAAACACCCCCTTAAAGTTTGTACAGTGCGTGCCCTAACACAATGTATAACCAGAAATAGAGACGAAATAAGGGCCATCCATTCCTGGCAACTCATCAGGCAAATGGGCCTTATATCACTTTTAAATAATTAACTCGCGCTGAAACCATGAATTAGAAAGCTGAAATATAGTACAGCCTCAACAACTGACTGGTGTGTGTCTCCGTATATTCCAAAAACATGCTGTATTTATTGTAATAAAGATATCTCTAACAATGGGGGCTGTTCCATTCGGTGGTGTGGGAAAAACAGCAAAACATTTCGTTATAAAACAAACTGAATCACATTTCGTGGGTAATTATAGTTATTTTTGATACAAGTGCGAAAAGTTAGTCATTATTTACGAGGCTCGAGGCTTCTTGGCCAGAGCCAGAGGCAAGACGACTCAACGACGTGAAAACCCTGCAAGTAAGATTTTTAAAATATTTAGTAAGTCGTAAAACCAAAAATAACTGTAAAGGAGACTATGACAAACTGTTCTCTCACTGTAAAATACTTCCTGTAAAAGCCAAAGTTCAATATTTAGCCGCTATTGAAAATTATTATAAAACCGAATTTAAAATTAAAGTAATGAATAAATATAATACTAGGAGAGTCCGTGAAAGTAAATATGTATGTCCAAAAGTAAATAATTACTATGGTAAAAGAACAAATAGGTATTTCTTGCCCCTTTTATTTAATAAATTTGATTTTTTGAGAGACCGTGATATATTATCTAAATTCATTTTAAAGAAAAAGTTAAAATCTTCTCTTTTAGTAGCCATTTAAATTTAGCTTAAGTAAGTACATTGATTTTGTTAAACGTAGTAAGTAGGTATACTATAGTCTCGAGATTGTGAGTGTATCCTTGCCAACAAACTGCTTTCGCAGTTTGGCGAGAAATTGTATTATGTATTTTTGTATGCCTTTTGTATAAAATAAATAAATAAATAAATAAAGGGTCAAGACTGGAGACAAGTGAAAATAACAAATCCGCACGTGTATCAAACGATATTTTTAATACATTTGCAAAACAATTACATTGAAAGTAAAATAAAACAGTATTTAAAAAAAAATTAACGAAAAAGGCGGGAATGTAAATGAAAAATATTTGTACTTTTTTGGCCGACTTTTTTCAATATGGCAACTGTTGCCAGTATTCAGCAACATTAAAATTACTATTTTAGTGGCGTGTCGCGCAGCAGTCTCGCGTAATAATCACCTCCGGTCATTGTTAATACTCAATCAGCCATCTTTATGGAAAATATTTTGGTATTTTTAAATGTAACCCGTTGTTTTATAAAACATCTATGCAATTTAAACAAATAAGATGTTTGTCAGTAAATATAAGTTTTAATGACGAATGACTTACTTCACAAAACACATAAGTATTAAATAAATATATAACCTCTTTAGTTCTATGTTTTAAGACTTGAAACAACAGTAAAGTAATTTAAAAAATGAAAAAGTAAAAGGCACTAGTTCGAAAAATCCAACTTTCGACACGATTTGTAGTACGAAAAAATAAAGAGAGATTTTATTTTTTTTTAAAAATACCACGTTTTCAGCTACTACATTAAAAAATATTAAATATGTAATCTTTCAATTTTCGTCCATTATAGCAAAGCTTGAGTTAAACTGGTCGATTTGAAGTGAAACAATTGACGACTCCCGTCAATTGTTTAGAATTCGGGCTGGCCAATCGGAGCGCAGTTGTCATCATAATGATTGGGCAGAATAATTTTCAAACAAATCAAACGACATTTCGTCTCTATTTCTGGTTATCTCGATGCCCACAAAGTTGAAACTCAAATTGTAGAAATATCGTTATTTAATTGTTTATTACAAATGGTTAAATAGCTTCTTATTACATATAAATTTGGGATAATTAGCATACCTTGCCATCACCGTAGAAATAGTTGCATTCTTTGGAAGAGTTTGACAACGCGGACCAAGTGAGGTAGATGACATATAGACCGACAACAGCGGACTGCAGTAAGCCGGATCGCGGCTGATGTTCTTGCACAGACGGTAAAATCGAGATCGCGCTCGCTATCACCACCAGGATCAGGTTGAACGAGATGAAGAACTTTGAAAGGTCGCAGCCGTCGGCCTGGGGAAAATTTAAGTGATGATTATTGCTGGTTACAGGGGGCCTACCCTAAGCTTTCAAAAAACAATCTTATTTCAATGGAAGCTTATAGTATGCTTACTATAATATTACTCGTATTCGTACCATGACAAACCTATCAACCAAGTAATGTATTATCGCTAAAGTGACTGAAAGAACGAATGATTTACCAATATTGTCTATTCCTTACTAAAAACAGGAAAGAAATAACTCTATATGAACTGTATAATGTCATCTCTTTCTTTTTTGATGTTCCAAATCGTCTTAACGTAACACGGTGTTAAAGTACTTAATATTATTTACTTTCAAAGAATTTTAACTGCCAAACATGGACGTCGGTTTCGCGCTAAAAAGTGTCCGCACTTATAGGGCGTTAAAATCGCATACAGAGCGTCAAATGCGTAACAGTCTTCGTTTGTTCAACTGACAGCGTGGATGTCAATCATACAGTATCATATAATAAGAACCTGTAAAAATTACTGCAGTAAAGTGTAAAAACAGGATTTTGTATCATATTTTCACTAAACAAATATATTGTGTTATCATAGGTCTCATTCAAAAGTGTTATTTTGTATAGTTCTATAGTATTTAATTTATATTTATATGAGTCGTAAATATAAATTACAAAAGCACACAAAATAATCACATAGCCAACTGTCCTTTTTCCACACATTGCATGCGCAAAAGATGGAATGAGACCCATTACGTCAGTTTCAAGAAGTTTATATAAACTTCTTGGTCATCTTCAATTGTTCGAATCACAAGCGATTGAAATATTTAGAACAAAGAAACTATAAAGTTGCTTTGATTTTAAAATGATTTTTTTAATTAAACGTTAGCAATAACTTTAGAGGATGGAAAAAAAATATAACTAACCATTGATCTACCAACAAATGGACATCAGGTCTAATACAAAAACCAGGAAAAAAATGTCCGAGGTTAACCTATATAAACGTAGTGACAGGTAACGAAATATAAAAAAACTTAAGTAAACTTACTTCCAATAATTTAAGGGCCCAAAAACACCATACTCAGCTTCTACTGGAAACTTAACAAAATCCACCATATTTAGCTTCGACTGAAAATTACTTGAACACAAGAGTAATGGAATAGCCTTTCTCGTAAATATTAATTAATTTTTTTATATATGATATTTTTTATGTCGAATTTTGTACAAATTCAGTTAAAGGTATAATAAAGAGTTGGGCAGATACATACATACAAATATTACTACAAATGTGAAAATAAGCGTGTACTATAAGAAATGTACCGATATTCTAACTAAACGTGAACTCAAATATGCGTAATTCCGATTTATAATAAAACAGTTACGCTTTCGAGTAATTTTGATGCTTTTTACATACACAAAATTAGCTGTTGTTTTGTAATCTTCGTAAAAACACATTATAAAAATTCGAGCTAATGTTATTTGGGGCAAATGTATTTTCTGACTTCTGATAGGTAATCACATGCCGTAAAACGAGTACAACAATATTTTGTTGTACTCGTTCAAGTAATTTTCAGTCGAAGCTAAATATGGTGCATTTTGTTAAGTTTCCAGTAGAAGCTGAATACGGTGTTTTTGGGCCCTTAAATTGTTAAAAAACTCGTCAGTAGTACAATGACGTTACAATTTAAATTAAATGTTTTACTTTTTTATATTTCGTTACATGTCACTACGTTTGTTTAGGTTAACTTCGGACATTTCTTCCAATTTTTTGTATTAGATCCAACGCTCATTCGTTGGTAGGTCAATGCTGCCAAAAAAAGATAAGAAATTACGTTGTTTTCAATTATTTTTCCGCATTTTCATGAAGAAAAATAAATAAAACAAGCTGAGTCTTGAGTACCACGTTGTGAATTCGGAATTATAGTCTAGAGTCAATTGTTAGTGTCGCCAAGGAGCACATAAATGGCGCTGTCATAATTTTACGAAATAAACATCACGTATTTTTATTTAACGATAAATTATTTCCTATGTACGAACTCTTTCACAAGGAGCTCCACTGCTACTAAACTCCACTTCAACCTGCCAATTGTCTATCTCTATCAGTTGTGGTTAGTAGCCTGGTGGATTGCGGCGCTGACAGATAGCTCCAGTTGTTCGGAGACCTGATCCGACTACCGTTTGGGATTCGTTCCTTCTAGGGCTCTTTCCTTCCACCACCTTCCCTGTCACTATCAAACGCTCCTGGTTATCAGCATCTCTATGTGCAATGTGACCAAAATAGTGTATCCAGACACTGCATGCTGATTGAAGACAGTCTATCATAGCAGTACTATAATTTAGATCGCCAGTTAACCCGTGACTATTTATATGGAAAACTATTATCTAGTTCAAAGAAAACATACATAAATAAGAAATAAAAACGTATTAAAATGAATTATTAAGATTACATAGCATTATGTACTCACTTTAGTGTAATAAACATAGAGCAACACAATGCCAGTGAGGGTTGCCGTAAACATTGTGAGCATCGCCAACAGAAGTGCTGCGTACCAGCCTCGAGACTGCGATTCCTCGTAGTTTGCTGTTCAAATACAGGTTATACAATATATAATAACACGTTTAACTATATTAGCATGTATAGATGGAGCGAATAGTACAGTAAGAGCGCACAGTGTTTTTTTAGCCCTAATTCGGACATGTCCCTGTTAACAAAAGAATCAGAGAAAACGTTTCATTCCGAATGCATGAGTAAAACGCCCATGACTCACTACAATAATTTGGAGAGAACTTCGACCAAAGTTAAATGTCCCGTATTAGGTATTTTTTGAAAATAAAATTCTAGTGAGCAAATCGTTGCAGCTAATTAGACTAATTCGTTAGACTGTTTTTTAAAAAGCCTTCCTTGTTTGTAGGCATATTAGAAACGTTTTTTGGCCGCGCTGGCACATATAGGCTGCGAGTAAACCGCCATTTAATCATTTTTTTACTTAATTTTTTTCTGGCTTTATTATATGCAAATCAGAAATAATTGTTGAACCACAAAACCGTTGTGTGTAACCGCTCTTGAGTTTGACGTTTGAATTGATTAGGGGTCATGTTGGGCGCCAAAATAAGTTTCATTTTAGTAAAGTACCTTAATGGCACCTTCACATGTTGCCCAGTGTCATTGTTATTATTATTATTTTGGATATCTATTTTAGATTCTCGCCTTTCCTATGGCGTAATAATAATAAGCTTCATCATTAAAAGGCTTCGTTCAGGGCCTACGCGACCCCTCATCACTGCGACCATTAACAAAATGAAAGGCCAACAGCATTCAAGAACTAAAGGACTTTCCTGGCTCCAACAGTTTTTATGTACTCTGATTGTGGTCTGTGCTTTCCCAGTATGGAATTTCGTATGCTCAGTGTGCTCACCTTAACTAAAATGTCAACTAGTAAAATTTTTATGTTACAAGACACAATTTAACCTGTATAATTTGACACTATTTTGCACAAATTGCGCATTTGAACGCTGCAGCAGCGCTGTGTAAAGAACTTATACTTACAAACCCATTTTTCCGCCCAAGAGTGGGCGAAATCAATAATCAGGATAAGCTGTATGACTATGAAGCAGAACCCTCCGATCATTCCAAACACCATCCAGGTTGAGGCGAATGATCCCTCTGGTATGAAGAAAGCACCTATGATTCCACCAATCACTAATAGGTACTTTATACCCCAGAAACTGAAAGGATGAGTTTAATTCTGTATTAGATGATATACATTAAACACCTTGAGTTTCAATGAAAGAGCAGATTCTTTAAAACATAAGAGTAAAGAAACCAGAAATATAAATTGCATTACAATTGACATATCTTGCTAATTTTGTGATATTTACCCATTCTGAATGCCAGCTCTTGGATCTTTGGACGATTTTGCACCAATCATGATCAGAGCCATAAGTACGAAAAATAGACATGTTGCAAAGCAGATCCTACAACAAAAATCATACAATGTAGTTGATAATCGGTAACAGGCACTAGTTTGTACAATATGAATTTGTATGCACATGGCATTTACCATCTCTGAGTGAACACTAAGGGTCGTATTCTAGAACTCTACTCAATGCTCAAGTCAGGATTTGAGCAGACTTGAGTATGATTTCAAGCACTGGAAATACGACCCTAATGGCAAGGACTTGAGTATGATTTTCAGTGCTCACTGCAATACTCAAGTCCTGACTTGAGTATTGAGTAGAGTTTTGGAATACGACCCTAAGTCCCCAAGGAGTATTATGTATAATGAACACAACATCTACCTTATTTTGGTACATGATTTAGGAATGACTAAGACAACTACTGTATCTGTATTGTACACATTGCAGAGTTTATACCAGATTTGAGTCCGTCATTTGTTAATTCTGTCAATTGCCTTAATAACAGAAATCAAACGATTTAAAAAATATGTTTATACAAACATATTGTACATGTATACACATGATTAAGACCCATATTTAAAATCAATTAATGGGTGAAAATCGTGAAAGTTTAAATCAGTGGATTTACCTGTAAACAGCTAAATACCCAACAGCTTGATCACAATTGACTTTGAAGTCCCCTGGGACAAGTCCTGTTGAATTTTGACAAAATGGTACCTGAAAATGATTAAGTTTTTATAATTTACTGGTAATGAAAACAATATGATTTTATTACAAAACGTTGTTGAAAAGCATAGTTTTAATTGAAAATGGAATGTATTTGGACTTTGGATGAATAGAAAATGAGTAATTTTCACATACATTAGTGGTTGAAATAGATACTTACCTTCTTCAATTCATCATGTAATCCTGGGGCGAGAGTGATGCAGGCTGTGATCATAACCAACAGCAGCATCACCGTGTACATAAGGCGTGTTGAAGTTGAATTGGCACATGAAGGACATGCTGAACAACACAGGGAGCACGCCGCACTGCCGCAGCAGCAAGCCAGCTGGTAATACATATAATAATAATAATAATAATAATAACGCACACACTCAACATAGCCCCGCACTAGGGAAACCCTGTGTCGCGGGTGCCATGGACACACATAGACAACCACAAATTACACCCAAACTCACGAGAGAAATAAATGTAGGCCATACAAATATTTCTCCCGGCCCGGGAATCGAACCTGGGATCTCTGCGTGGCAGTCCGGCATGGTAACCGTTCGGCCACAGAGGCAGTTAATATGGTATTATCTTTAATTTACTAACGCAAATTATCTTCATTTAATAGGTAAGAAAATTACAATTTAAATCGTCACATTGATTAAACTCTACTGTTCATTTGTAAGGTAGATTACCTTGAGAAGAATAAGCAAAACCCTCTTTATAATTGCCTCTGTGGCCGAACGATTACCATGTCCGACTGCCACGCAGAGGTCCCGGGTTCGATTCCCGGGCCGGGAGAAATATTTGTATGGCCTACACTTATTTCTCTACTAGACTACCTGCAAGAGCTGACCAGGTCACTACCAGAGATGGGCAAGTGCTTTATTTACCGCCGAGTTTAAATCTGTTAAAACCAATTAATGCCCAAAATCAGGGGCAAAACAAGCTGTTGACTGTACATCCTGAGCATTTGCACACTATGTCTGATTTGTATTAGTTCCAAATCTGAGAAATGGCAGTCTGAAAAGTCATAGAAACCATTTTATCTCTAGGTGTACAAGTGATATTCGTATTTTCTCGGATTCAAATTGGACTTAGTGCACTAGAGTTTTCTACATTTGTATAGTCTTGGATTCAGAATGAATACGAAGCAGATGCGGTGCGCAAATGCGCTTAGTAGTGAGAATCCACAGGATTCCATGGTGGGTATTGTGTGGAGTTGCTTCTTTTGCATTTCAAAAATGTTTTTTATATTGAAATTTGTAATAAGTATGAAATTGTACTAAATTCCGTATTAGCAGTTTCTGTCTACGATTTTGATCAGAAATGGATTAAAACCCGGTGAAAACCCGCACAAGTTGATTGTGTTTTAACCCTCCCATCTCTGGTGGGTGGATTTTTTCCTCCAAGCATGCAGAAGCTGTATAATACCTTAATAATATACATATAAACCACTGTCTTCTGTATTCACAATCATTCAGCTCATTAAAGCTGTACTGATGCAACAATATTGATACAGTATCATAATGGGGTAACATATAAAGAATTACCAATCACTAGATTGTGTAAAGAATTAAATAAGACACTAGGTTCATCTTGTATAATGCTATCACTCTTTTTGTTTTTCATTGTTCTTTGCTTTTTATTGAAGATCTTGGAAAACATCATTCAGTATGATCTCCGTAGTTTTCTTTTTAGAGATGCGTCAAAAACCAATGTGTGCGTAATGATGGCACAAATTATTTGCAAATAACTTGTTTGTATTGTTGCTTATCAGAAGACAGTCAGCACCTCGTAAATCTACAATCATTGTCCTCTGCTTTTGTGACGAATTCCACAGAAAAACCCCGTGACGCTAGTGGGTGACCACAAGGATGACTTTGTAGTTGTAAAAATATTGATGAGTTGATTTTATACTGCATTTACAATTTAACAATAATGGAATTTACCTGCGCTGCGGAACAAAGACCCAGCACAGCTCCCATGACGATATCTCGCAATTGACACGTTAGATACGTTAAAAGAAACGTACACTTTTAAATTTACACAATTTATATGAATTCTTGAAGGTTTTATGCCAAAATAATGGATCTTGCAAACGAAATCAATAACTTTTCCCTAATCAGCCCACTTCAGCCCAGCCAGTCGCAAACAAATATTGTCTTTGGTTCAGTCCTTTGGTTAGCTTTGGTCTTTTTTTTTTCTTCTTCTTTCCATAAAGGAAAAGGCAAAGGTTTTACACCATACAGCCAAGTCTTAGTACATTATTCTTTTTTGGACATGAAGTTTTTAATGTTTCTGTAAATATGGCCGCCACAAAGAGGATAGGCAAATTGAGGCGGCGTGCTTGGATTGACTCGGGATTCCTTAAAAGGGGCCGATATGGGTATTTTAGTTCGAGATTCGTATAATTTCGCGTTTTAATCTTCGATTAAGGCACAATAGCACTATCCTATTCCACTTTAAACTAGATTTCACAAAATAATCGAAAGTCAAAATAAAAACGACACTTCCCTCCAAAAGGTCCAGAGCGAATCCTTAGCTTTGGTCGCAAAATCGCAAAATGAGTTTGAAACATCAATACGTTGTTCTTTTTTTTTTTTTTCTAATTTATTTTAGAGCTTTGGCTTGGATGTAAGTTCTTCGAGACTTGTCTTCGTTTAATTATCGGGATCCTCATTAAATATTTTCCATTGTGGTTCAACATTTTGTTTTCATTTTCTCTATAACTTAGTTCTCTTGTTTGGGTTTTCTAAATAGGAGTCAATATTTATGTTTTCACTTTCAGCTATATCACATTATTGTTAGTTTGAAGAAAAACTTTGAATTCGTAATTATTGCAAGTTTCAATTTTATTTTTTCTCTTTCGTAATTTGGTTTAAAATAAAGAATATATAAGATAAGACGAAATAAATAAGTTACTCCAAGACGGTGTCATTAGACCTATCTCTCCGTGGAGAGCTCAATGTCTTGTCGCAGGACGTGGATATGACCGTAAACGTCTTGTAATTGATTACTCGAGAACCTATAAATAAATATACAGAATTAGACGCCTACCCATTACCGAAAACAGAAAGTATCATAGCAAAAGTTTCTAAACACAATTATTTTAGTCAAATTGATTTAAAAGTGCTTATCACTAAGTTCCCATTCTGAAAAAAGATCGAAAATATCGTTCGAAGCCTGTGGTAAGCTATACGAATTTATACGGATTCCATTTGGCGTTACGAATGGAGTAGCGGCCTTCCAGCACACTCTGGAATTTGTCACACAAAAGGAAAGCCTTACTGGGACGTTTGCATATCTTGATGACATAACCATCTGCGGAGCGACGAAAAAAGAGCATGATATAAACCTGCAAAAATTTGAAGCGGTTAGAAAGTATAAACTAACATTGAATTTGTTCACAGTCTATAAATCTATTAGGGTACACTATTAGTAACTATGTTATTAAGCCTGATAAAACTAGGGTTCAGCCCTTATTAAATCTTCCTGTACCTGTGTGATGCACAATCTTTAAAAAGATTTAAAAAATTAAAAAAATAATTATTAAGGCTTTGGCAAAGCCTTAATAAATTATCAGCCTAAACATGAAGTTTAATTATGTTTCTGTAAATATGGCCGCAATAAAGAGAATAGGCAATTTGAGGCGGCGTGTGTGGATTGACTTAAAACGGGCCGATACAGGTATTTTAGTTCCAGATTCGTATAATTTCGCGTTTTAGTCTTCGATTAAGGCACAATAGCACTATCCTATTCCACTTTAAACTAGATTTCACAGAATAATTAAAAGTCAAAATAAAAACGACACTTCTCCCTCCAAAAGGTCCAGAGCGAATCCAGATTTTATAAAAGGATACATTCCATAGATTATAACGCAACTTTTACTGTCGAAACTGATGCTTCAGAACATGCAATTGGGGCTATCTTATCACAAAATAATCTTATTTTTCTCGTTCTCTCTCTCAAACTGTAAGGCGTCATTCTTCAATTGAAAAGGAAGCTTGTGCCATGGTAGAAGCCCTTCGAAAGTGGCGCCATTTTCTATTAGGGAAACATTTTATATTAATTACTGATCAGCAGTCTGTAGCATTCATGCTTTCTCACTAATCAAACAAAATAAAAAATCAAAAAATTGAGAGGTGGAGACTTGAGTTATCTTGTTTTAAATACGTTGTTGTATACAGACCGGGAAAAGATAATAAAGCAGCTGATGCTCTTTCCCGAATTTGTGCACAAGTAAATACTAATACCTTATCTGATTTGCATAATGCTCTCGGACACCCGGGGGTGACACGATTGACACACTGGGTTAGAAGCAAGAATTTACCTTATTCTGTGAATAATATAAGACCTGTAATTTCATCGTGTAAAATATGCGCAGAAATTTAACCGAGATTCATTCAAGGTCAAGGTCAAGGTCAAATCACCTTATCAAAGCAACTGCACCATTTGAACGACTAAGCATCGATTTTAAGGGGCCAATTCCCTCTAATACTAAAAGTAAATATATTCTGACAATAATTGACGAATATTTTCGATTCCCATTCGCTTATCCTTGTTTCTATAGAGTTTGTAATCAAATGCTTAAAGGATATTTTTCATGTTTGGAACTCCACTTTATGTTCACTCTGATAAAGGATCAGTATTCATGTCAGAACGTTTTCAACATTTTTTGTTATCTCTGGGTATAGCATCAAGCCGAACTACTCCATATAACCCACAAGGCAATGGACAAGTAGAGTGACTGTTGGGACATTATGGAAGACGAACCAGTTGTATATAAAATCGAAATATTTGGAAGCAACAGATTGGGAACAGGTCATACAGGAAACTTTACATTCCATTCGTTCGCTGTTGTGCACAGCAACGAACTGCACGCCACATGAGCGTCTATTTCAGCACCCACGTCGATCAATGAATGGTCAATCCATGCCGACGTGGCTAGCAAATCAAGGACAAGTCTTTATGAAGAAAAATGTTCGTAACTCGAAATTAGATCGTCTGGTAGAAGAGGTGGAACTTCTTCAGGTCAATCCTTCGTGAGGTATGCAGATGGTAGAGAATCTACCGTCTTTAATAGGCATTTGGCTCCCTTACCGGAGGGAATATATGATGACGATGATGAAAATAACGAGTCTTTCTCCCAAGAAGTTGATGAGACACAGCCCAGGCAAGATGGAGATGAAACAGAGCCTCATGAACTTGAAGAAGCTCTAGGAGATGTTGAAGAACCTACAACTGGACTGGACGGCCTACTAGAACTAGAAAACCGCCTAATTACCTTAAGGACTATGTCTAAAATATTATGTGTACTGTTAGAGTAATCTCGTCGAACATCGTGCCTGGGGAGAATGATGTAATCTGTCTATGTTTAGTTGTCATACAATGTCATATTCTCCTATGTAAAATTCAACCATGTTTCTTTTGAGTTAATTAAAGCCTTATCTCCTCAAAGGTTTATTCTCTCGTGTATCAAGTTCTAAGTTTCTTCATTACTAATTCTTTCTTGGTATTTTCTTCAGAATGTACTTAAAATAAAATTAATCTTTGTAAAAATTGTACTTGTAACTTCAAGCTTCAAGCTCGCCATTTTTCCAATACGTTCCTCGAGTTTCTGTATGTCTGAATTGCGGCGAAAATATTTTTATTGCAGCATGATCTTAGAGGATGGAAAAAAAATAAAAGAAGCACGATGCTAGCTGGCAACATTAAGGCAAAAAATTTGTAAGCATAATTTCAATGACTGGGCAACAGTAGGAATTCGAAGAGTAGGTCTCGTTTGTATAAGCTTATTCGAACTTATAATACTAATTTAAAACTAATAATACTAATTCCAGTTTTATATAATACGAGCCCTGCACCCCACCTACGGTGCGATCGGCCTGCGGCGCATGGTCGGTTTCAGTTTACGGGGTGTGCACATGCTCTTCGGTGGCACACCAGTTAGTACAATGGGCGCTTGATGAGGAGGTCGATTCCCGATTTATGCCAATTTAAGAAACGAACCTTTCGAAGTTGGTTTGGTCTGAGTATTCTGGGTTATCGTTGATTTGGTATTCATAGTACCTACATAGTACAGGAAATTCGGCAGTAGTTTGATATTTTTCCCCCTAAATCTCTTTGGCATAGCTTTCAAGAAAATGAAATCTAGCATAGAGACGGTTGAGATACAACAACGCCATAATAAGTATCTCATTTCCACTACATCGGGAAGTATGCTTTACATTTTTACAATTGTGAGATCGTGTACTCCTAATATATTACGTCTTCGCATATTATCACCATTTGATGGCGTGCGGACGCTTCGGGCTTCGCCGTCTGCGGACGTCGGCCTACGGCCTCGGCATTTATGGCTTTGTTTAAAAAAAAATTGAATTATTTCTTTAAAGGCGGCCATATTTAAAAATTGCAAAAATATATTTTGACCACTAATTATTATCAAACAATCTTAGAAATCGCTTCGTACCCTTAGAATTCGTACCAATTTTCAGTCCGAGCAAAGCAAGTTTTTTCAATAGCCATTTACATAAAAAAATTTTACCCCAAATTGCGATTGTGATGGCATTGCATGGCTTCACATTTTCAGTCGAATTAGAAGAAATTTTTATCTACCGCCAAAAAAGTTTGTATTTTAGCCATATTGAAGAATGGCGAAAAATAATATTATTAAACACTCATAGAGACCCCGACATGTCCACTTTCAATCGAATTAGAGCAAATTTTTATCTGGCGCTAAAAAGGTTTGTGTGGCTATGACTATATTGAAAAAAGGCGAAAAATAAATTTCGACCGCAAATTACTATCAGACACCTATAGAGATCTCCACGTATTGATTTTCAGTTGAATTAGAGCTAATTTTTATTAGTTGTTTAATTTTTAAATGGCGTAAAACCATTTTTGATCACAAATTATTATCAATCATTCCTAGAGACCCACACATGCCAATTTTCAAAGGGATTAGAGCATTTTGTTTCTACTGCCAACGAACGCTTCTATGGCGGCCACATTTGAAAATGGCGAAAAACCAATTTTGACCACAAATTATTATCTACTATATACTTCTAGAGGCCTCCTCATGCCAATTTTCAGCCGAATTAGAGCAAGTCCGTTTCGGCAGCCACTTTTGACGAAAAAAACGCTTATATGACAGCCATAT